TTTTTTCATTATGTTGTAGTGATAAGAAGTTAACAGCCAATAGATCTTTTAGTCAACAAGGTCTTGTTAGTGCCAATTCTTCTTTAATTACCCATCAATATATACGACATTGTTCCTGTTTTTAGCATTTTTCTTCGAAGATAAACCTTATTATGTTGTCATACATGCGTACTAGTGTCGAAACACTTCCTACTCTCTTTCACCATCCCTTCCGACACAATGGTCACTGTCTGACAACATTCTACAATGGTCCCTTAATATCAGAAGATTTGCACTCATTTAATGTTAAAATTGTGTAATATAATAAAGCTTAAATTATACGACACTTTTTCAATCATTATATTAAGACATCTCACTAACAATCACAAATATCCTCCTTATGAGACTGTATTATTCATTTTAAACTATAGTTTTTTTTATTTACGGTCAAGTGTCTTCGGATCAATTGATAAGAACTTCAAAATTAATTTTTTTTTTTTAAAATTGATTTTAAGGGTGTAATATTATATTAACATATATTTAAAAAATACATGCAAGAAAAAAGGGCAAAATTATATGTTAAATTATTTATTTTTCATTAATAAATTTTTTACATATTAATTTATTGAAAATGTTTAAACTTTTTCAAATGTATTCATGAACTTTTTCTGAGAAGAAGAAGAAGAAGAAGAAACTGACGATGGGTTATGAAATGCTTGCGTAAGAGAATGGTGAAGCCGACGTGGAAAATAAGTAAATAAAAAAAATGCGAGGTGATAATTCTAGGCGTGGGGGTAGATTCGGAATCCTGCACCATCACGATCATGGGCCACCCAACACTAAGGTCCAGGTAACAGATCATCTTTATTAGGTCCCGGGCCCCTTTCACAAACTGATGGTGGGTCCATCCCCACTTCCCCACCTCCTTCCCCACTTCCACGGGTGTAAGTGATTACACGCGCTACTCTAATAATCCTTTTTTTCTTGATAATTTGGTGAGAAATGAACTGTCACAAAACTTACTTTTGCGTTTTATTAGCCATAGGAAACTCGCATGAAAAAAGTGGCTTTACACATCGCTTCTTTTTTAAATTTTTTTTAAAGTATTTATTTAAAATTTGATTTTTAATTAATATTTTTTAAAATTAATTATTAAATTAAAATTTTTATTTATAAAAATTATACATGTCAATTTTTATATTAATTTAATAAATCTAATTAGTTCATTGATAACATAAATTTTAATATATTAAATATATAATATCAAATAAATTTTTTTATCAAAAAATTATAAATATTTTTTTTTTATACAACAGGGAATAACTTTGTTATTCCCAAACTTTTTTCTACCCATCTCAAAAATTAAACTTAAGATATCTAATATTGAAATTCAAAATTTTAACTATGAAAACGTCTTCTAAAGGACAAGCGTCTTCTAAGGAACAAGTGTATTTTAAGGAATAGATTTATAAATGTTATATTAATATAAAAATTGACATACATAATTTATATTAATATAATTTTTAATTCAATAGTTAACTTTTAAAGATATTAATTAGATTGTGAGTTTTTTAAATAGGTTCTTTAAAAAAAATTAAGAGAATGATATACATTATATTAATCCTAACTATCATGATGTATTATAACTTTATATCTGATTCAACAATTTATATTTATTGATAGTGAATATTTGAGGATTAATATTTATTGTTGTTTATAATAAAAAGCTATAAGTCATTAAATGTTACCAATCAATTATAAGTTGTTAAAAATAACTAGACCAAATAAAAATGTATAAAATCAAGTTACATAACCGTTATCTCACTTTGAAGTTAAATTTGTTATAAATAAATATTTAGTGAATCATTGACATTCAATTTCATTTACTGTGAAATTGTAACTTGAGCAACAAAAATTTAAAGGTAATATATATATAGATTGATAAAATATAACATATGTGAATGCTAGAAAATTGTGAAAGAGTGGAGAACAAAGAGACAGTGTAGGGATCATTTTCTTGTCATGACTCATGATCATAAATGCAAACAGCATGATTTCTTTTGGAAGGGAGCTCTTTGAAGAATTGGCCTTATCACTAATGTATGCATGAGGAGGGGGTCAAATTTTGCTTGTCTCTTATGATAAATAAATAAATAAATAAATAAATAATATATATATATATAAGAAGAAGTTATCATAGAGATATATTTTGATGTGCAAAATATTCATCTATGTCCAACTTTAGTTGTAATATTTCTCCTCGACATAATTAACGAGAAAATATATTTAATAGCTTAAAAATAATAATTAAGGGAACTGATTAAAAATAAAACGTGCAATAAATAAATTTAATTAGATATTTTTATTTAAAAATGTGATAATTAAAGTTGAATAGAAATATAATTTTTTTTTGTTGCATAACAAAAATAAAAAGTCAAGTTAAATAAAAAATAGGCGCCTCCACAACCTTAATTCATTAACCATTGTTGGCACAAAAAACAGCATTATTCATTCTTACGTTTTATTGCTCTTATTGCATTTTAAATTTTTTACCAAACGAAAAAATAAAGTAATCATTAAAAAAAAAAAAAAAAACCAAACAAAAACCACACATATCATGTTCTTGTCATTTAATTTTTTTGTAATAATTAAGCTCCATTTTTTATTTTTCATGTCTTTCACGTTTTCTTTTGATGCTTGTCCTGAATTTCACAAGTCAACTATTTAACAAAAATAATATAATTAAAATATTACATAATATTATATACTGATAATAT